TCACACTTTTATTAAACATTTGCATAACATTGTTACTTCATTTCCTATAAAAATAAAACTGGGAAAGGGAGGGAGAAGGGAATTGGGATTGTCATGTAAATCAATCTTGTCTCTAATTCAAATAAAAAAATGATAAAAACTAAAACTGGGCAGTATACTACAAAGTCTTCTAGCTCCTGACTTTATTCTTGCAAGATGCTTTGCATAAGTTTTCAATTTCTCTCTAAAACAGAAAATATCATAAGTAGATGCCATTCTAAAGACAGCCAAGACATCAACACAGCTGTCTCCTTACATACACAGTTTCAAATGGCAGTAATAAAGATATTTTCACTGGTTGACATGTAAGTAATTTTGTGGCAAGAGACAAAATCAAAACAATAAAGTTTATTTATACTGGCCTTTATATATCTACACTGTCTAGAAATAGTGTCAGCAAGTAAATAAAAGGTATTATATAAAAAGGTATTATACTTTAAAAATCATTATGTACTACTGTTCACAATCTTTGTGTGCTATTTGCTTCTTTGTTAATGTTATGAGACAGAAATTATAACTCTATGTTGAAGATGAGACGAGTTGAGTAGTGAGCAAAAGGTCCCATTGTTATTAAATGACAGATTCAAGGCATAAATTCAGGTTAGATTAATTCCAAAATATGTGTCTGTCTGTTAAGTATCTAGCTTTTCAGTTTTAGTGTCTTCCCTTGCTGATATTCACTGAGCATTGTGCTCAACTAGCTGTAGCAATGAGTGCACACAGGAAATGATGCAGGGTACTGTAGGGAGAGACCCCATACCTCTACCTGTGACCACGCCCACAGGTAGAAGGGCTAGAAGGAGCCAGGCTCACTCTCTTGGGGTTCAGCCAGCTCTTGGAAGCATCTGAGATCTTGGCAGCTCGGAGTGCCTGTGTAAGTTGTTTTCATTCCTATCAATTATAATATACCATCAATAACCATATCTGGTGTATGGTTTGTGTTCCTTATCGGGGTACCCTTATTTGGGAAGAGTAACCCCCCAAATCACTACTCTGCATTGGAGATTGAAGAAAATTAAAGCAACAAATGCTGATCAAGTATCTATTTGTGATGTTTAATTTTATCTTTATCTTGACAAGCTGGTGAAACATTTATGGATGCTCTGCAAGGCTCTTTCAGGAAGAAATTAGTGTAAAAGTGAGTAGACTAAAGATACATTCCCACCAATATCCAGTCCATTTTTGTGTTCTGCCAATCCAATCCAATTGGCAGAACACAAGATTCTACTCACAGAGGTAGGAAACCTGCTTTCTCTTTCTCCTTTTAGCTGGGACATTCATCTTCTTCTGTCTTTGGCCATTCAAATTTGTAGTTCCTTTGTCTGTAGGCTGTGGCTGTGGGCTGAATTATACCACCTGCTCTTCTAATTTTCCAGCTTTTTGGACTTCCTTGCTTCCACAGTAGTGTGAGCCAATTCCCATAATAAATCTATACATATCTTATGGCTTTGTTCATTGGAGAAACCTGACTGCTACAGTACTGTAGACCAGATAGTCAGCCAGGTGTTGAAGAAGACCCTCAGACTTAGCTCATTCTCTCATATGACAGATCACACATGCTTTGAGGGGAAGATGAACTAAATGAATGCAAAGGAAGATTGAAATGAATCAGGATGGGATGTGTTCCCTGAGACCTCAACACAGAGGAGAAGATAAGGGTGAATATGAAATGGTTCACGAATACCCCCTATAAAATTTGAAGAAAAAAGTCTCTAATAAGAGCTAATTTTTCTATGGTTTATTTTTATAATTGATCATTATATTCATTGATGGTTTGACTAATTTGGGTTAATTACCATTTTTCTGCAAGTAAAGGCATAAATCTGTCTTTTAGAGGTTAGACAGTCAATTTGGTATTTTTTATGAGATGAAACCAGAACTTTAGGCAATAAAGTTATTCCACATAATTCAACAAATTCTACAAAATAGTTTCAGGTACCCTAAGCATCTAAAATCTTGTTTTTAAATGAAATGTTCTACTGATACTAATACTTATCCAGGTTTATCATTAGATATAAAATAGCACTGTTTTGACATTTTCTGTATTTCAGGTTTTTAAAACTGTTAGGTTCATAAGAAAATGATAACCCTAAAGATTTTAGAGGAAGAATTTTTTTTTGTTTTTTGAGACAGGGTTTCTCTGTGTAGCTTGGAGCCTATCCTGGCACTCACTCTGGAGACCAGGCTGGCCTCAAACTCACAGAGAACTGCCTGCCTCTGCCTCCCGAGTACTGGGATTAAAGGCATGCACCTGGCTAGAGGAAGAAAATTTTAAGCGCCATCTTATTCTTATTTTAGTATTTTGGGACCATGTCTTCTATAAGTTTGTTGTGATTATTAGTTGGGTTATCATTCTAATTAGGAATCAGTAGGAAAGCATTTTTTGCTAACTTTCCACTTCATTTGCTCTCTTGGAAATGCAGTGTAACTGTCAACAGATAGAGATGACAACAAACAGTGCTGATTTTGAAGTATTCATCTTATACTAATATTGGGCTAGGCACTTCATATTTGGTTATTAGCTTGCCTTTGGTTTAACACTAAATTTTAATAGGTTTTATTTCTTAATTTTTGAGCAGTTTATTATTCCAGGAGAAATTTTCTTATACTAATGTCCTTTTCCTTAAGGCAGTACTAAAAAGCAACAATGGTTTTTATAGAAATATGTGCATTTGCATGCTTAAATGGGGTCTGACTTATAATATGCCAAGTGCCATCACTGATGATTATGTAGTTCGAAATGAAGTTATGACTTAGAAATAGATGTGGCATATGTTCTACACTACTTTAAAAATATGCCTGTGGGAAACTTGAAAAAAATCACAAATCCTGCTTGAATTGAAGAATTGCATAAATTGACTTGCAATTTCTTTCTTTCCATGGAAATGTTTATACTTCTCAGCATTTGGACATCAGATAAAATCTAATTTCATGTTTTGAATAAAACAATGAGAGCAGCAGCTGCACCTACAGGTTTTTCTTTTTGTTTTAACTTGATGTCAGACTATGTTCTATGTACTTTACATGAGTACATTTAGTCTATAATCTTCATAACCAGCCTGTCCTACTTAACATGTTTAAAAGAAAAATCTTAATTTTTGATTGATATTATGTACATTCAGAAAGAATAAAACATTGTGAAGATAAAACAATGAAAAACCTCTTTAAAAAGGAAACATACACCTGGAGTCATGTGCAGAACTAGCAAATTATTTTATTTACATAAAAATGCACACATACTTCATTTGTACACAGAAAATCGTAAGTATATATGTACTCACATATTTTACAATAGATAGCATTTTACTCATGTTTCTAAATGAACATAAAAATATGTCTCAAAATATTATTCACCAACCACAAAATTACAAAAGCACCCAATGATCTCAAATAGAAACTTCAAGCATGGACTACCACATATTAAGCCTAGCACAACTTGAACAAAACACAAAGTAAGACACTGCAGATACCACCAGGAAGAGAACAGAACAGAGATGTGAAATAGAGAATAGAACTGTTGGCTTTCTGAATAGTGTGATAAGAACATATTGTTGGTTAGGACTTCACTTCCAGGAGTCCTCTTTGAGTACTTTACTTGATTGATATTGTACAGATGAGAAGTGAGAAAGAAGTTAACGTCTACTACAGGGAGAGCAACCACAAGTCTGGAACCCTAGAAGCCTTCTTCCTTTTGTCTGTTTTCATACACTGTCAAGTCACATCATAAAGATGGCCACTCAACTTTTAGAAGATGAGGACACTGAGAGTAAAGTATTCTCAAAAGCTCAGTGACATGGGCATTGAAGGTATCAGCATTTAACATTTAGAGATACTCAAATGTGGCTCATTGTTTCCATAAGAATTCTTATTCTCAGTGTAGTGGTCACATGAACATACACACACACACACACACACACACACACACACACACACACACACTCACACCCTATTCTGAGGAGCTACAGATGATGAGCCCATGACTGGAATTTTCTGCCCCAAAACACTTCCTTTCAGTTTCAGCACTATTCCAAAAATGCATATCAAACAAAGGAAACTAAGTCCTGAACTTTAATGTGAATAAAACTTTAAAAAATAATCTTTCAGCTGGGTGTTGGTGGCGTACACCTTTAATCCCAGCACTCAGGAGGCAGAGGCAGGCAGATCTCTGTGAGTTCGAGGCCAGCCTGGTCTCCAGAGCAAGTGCCAGGATAGGCTCCAAAGCTACACAGAGAAACCCTGTCTGGAAAAACAAAAAACAAAAAACAAAAAAAATCTTTCAGCACAGAAGTGTTTGGATACAACATCATCTTCATTACTATCAAGCTACCTGAGAGCCACATTTGCCTATCTAGTACCCAAATGGCATGTTACAACACCACTCAAATGATACCCTAAGAATAAAGTGCTTCAACCACACTCCAGTCAGAACTGCTCGCATGCTAATATATTTGATTCTCCTGTGACACTCTTGCCAATAAAACAGGCATCAATATAAAGATAGGTGTTTTTAAAAGGGTTCAACACCAGAAACACAATCCATCTATTGAATACCATATTTTGAGTTACTTTACTGAAGCTACTCTTTCTAAGGAAACCTTTCAAAGCATTGCAAAGGCAGGCTCATTTGAAGAGCAGAGCTTCTCACACGCACAATTTGGTTTCCTTCACACATGGCTACTATCGATGCTTCTTACAGAGAAGCAACATCTCCAGAATGTTACCATCTCCCATGAAAATGATGGTTCCATAGTCAGTTTGATGTTTTAGATAAAGGTACTTATCACTAAGGAAAATGTACTCTACATTTGAATACACACATATATTTAATTGGGAACTGGACAAGGAATTGTAATCCATTGCCAGAAATAAAAGGAATCTTTTGCCATGGTGAGCTGGGCCTGTTTCTTGGTCATTCTGGGTAAACTGACATGAATATTTCATTTCAATTACTGAGAAAAAATTTATCCAGAAGATAAGTATGGTGTCTCACTATGGTAATTGTAGTCAGGACAAACCTTTTGCACAAGTTTATAGTCAACACTGTAAAAGGCAATGTAAATGCAGATGACCTTAAAGGGTTTGGAACATAACCAGGACACATGGCTCTGAGTCTGCTCCTGGTAGCAGATCTTGGACGGATCGAAATTGCACAGAGCAGTCTTCTTTGCCCGATCTGTTTTTTCATACTCAATACGGCAGTTGAAAGATTTGGATTCCTTGGTCTCCAAGGTAGACTGGGGGGATACTTCAAATTCCACTATTTTAGAGGGAGGTACCAAGCTCACTGAAACATTGCCCAGACCTGTTGAATTGTGTCGGAAATAAACACTGAATGTTCCGTTTCCATGATCAACAATTTTCCCTGTGATGAGCAGGTTAAGCTTGACAGTTTTAATGTTAGAATGGAAGTCACCCCACCCAAACATTTTCTTAAATTTTCCCGTTTTCACTATTGGCCGTCTTTTAGTTCTTGCCAGTGGCTCTTGAATCTCCGTGATGTTGGCCAGCCATTCCCAAAAGTTTTCCATGCTGTCTGTGTAAGCGGGCTTTGGACCTGGAGGCTGCTTAACAAATAGACGCAGAGGACTGGTAATCCGCGAGTGTGCCACATTTCCAACCAAGGCTCCTGGAGCATCTCGGTCTTTCCAGTCCACACCCTCTGTGGTGTGTATCAATTCCTCACTGTCACAAAACAGCTGTGGAAGAAGAAGAAAGAAAAATGTACTTTGGGACAGGCTTTGGATAAGCGTAGATTGATAAGTCAAAGAAAAATGAGATAATTTAAATTCCAATGATCAGTTCACACATAGGTAGGTATGTTCGGCAGTATGACAAGAGCATTTAATTCCAGCAGTGTAAAATGGGGAGAACAAATGCTAAAATGGTGAGGTTAAAATGAAGTATTCCAGCTTCGTTGTTGCTGTCGTTCTTATCCTCAGCATTTAATTTGCAGATCGGCTCAAATAAGTGTTTTTGGGCCCACATGTGATAAACCATTAAATTTGTGAGTATTTGTCCTTCTAGACAGATGAATATATAAATACCAAAAATTCCTGCCGAGGAGCTAGAAAGCCATTTAAGTATAAAATATTAAAAAATATTTTAAATATATTTTTTAAAGATTATGGCATTATATTATTCAAAGACAATGCATATAATTTCATAGTTTTCATTAAAATTCCATCTCAAAATCTGTAACAAAAATAATGATTATATATTTGATTTTCCATGGCAATTTTAGGTGAAAAACACAATTATATATTTAGGTGCCTTACATTAAGAGAAAATAATGTGAAAAGGTATACACTGATTAAGAGTCTGTATAGCTCAATATATCTTATTATAATAAAATCATACTCCAATAACATAATTACTAAGAAAAATCAATAAGTCTGTTTTGTAGGTTCTAAAATATTTTGGTTCAAACCATAGCCACTGAGATAACATTTTTAGATTTGATTTTTCGTTTTGTTGTTTTAGTAACAGAAGTCCTCATGATTTCCCCAAATCATTTAATTATGAAGATGTGGATTCTGAGGCGTGCAGTTGTGACATATATGAAGCTGTTACTTGGAATGAATATTGATGAGTGAGCTCTAGAGTATGAGAGATAGAGACTCCTGGTGGAAATGTAGATAGCCTCTTATCTTAATGGAACAAAAGCACTATTGTAATGATTCCAGAGAAAACTGTCAACATGATGAAGAGGAGGAGGAGCAAAGTGAGGTTGGAAGCATACACTGTTTCTCCAACCCATTCTCCTTCCAAAGCATTTGGCAAAATTCACTTCAGATTATTTTCAATCAAATTTCAAAAGAGAATACAGTACACAAACTAGTTTGAAAATGTGATGTTTCTTGTTGGTCATAAAACTTGGGAAGTTTAAGTTCTAGCAGAACAGGTGCCCCTAACGTGGGGCAAGAATGTCCATGTAAAACCTGACAAAAGCTAAAACAGGGATTCTGTTTAAGAAAACAAAAGAACAGAAGCAAGCATGGCTTCCTGGTAGCAGGATTTCTCAGGTGGGCTCTGCTTGCTAACGGCAAACTTTAAGAAAGGCTTCTTGACTCAGGGTTAGTGGCAAAAACTGCATGGCTCTTTTAAGAGGCCCTGCCAACAAACAATTAAAGGGTGTTTATGAGTAGCTCCTTGCTCCTTGGTGGTGAACCTAGAAACTCAACAATGAAGCTCGACTCTCAGAAAGCCAAGGAATAGGGCTAGGCCAGCTGCTGCTTTAGTTTTAGCCATGCTGTTTAGCAGATTAAAGACTCAGGTGGTCAGAAAGAGATATACAGTAAAGACTGATTCCGATGAAGAAAAGCCTCTAAAAGGTTTGCAGTGTGCTGAAAAATATATGTAGACTTGGGAGACAAATGAAAAAGGGTAAAGTCCCTAAAAAAGAAATAGAGTAGCTGGGTGTGGTAGCATACACCTTTAATTTCAGCACTCAGGAGGCAGAGGCAGACAGATATCTGTAATTTCAAGGCCAGCCTGGTTTACAGAGTGAGTTCAAGGACAGCCAAAGATACACAGAGAAACTCTGTCACAAAAAGCCAAAAGATAAAAGTAAAGCAAGTAAAAAAAAAGAAAAGAAATAAAAGCCATGTAAAGATGGAAAACACACAGAAAGTCTGGATACTATATGTTATTGTGTTATCTTTGAATTTTTTGACTACTGAGGATGGAGCAATAGCTGCTAAAAGACATCTGATTATAAATGCTTCTGGATTTCTCCAACCTATGTATTTTGAAAATGTCTTCACCTAAAAATTTATCTCTAAGAACATGGTAGTTTGGAAGTTCTTCTTTTGTTACCACAGAAGATGAAAAGCTATGGATTCCTTCCAGACTAATATGGTTTGATCAAGCAAGACCTCCTGAAGCAGCAGCCCAGGTATTCCAACATTCAAAACAGCTGAGATGATGTAGCCTCAGACTACTACAACCAGGATTTGGCCATGTTTATGGGTTTTCTCAGAATCCCCTTGGAATTGACAGTGGCCCCAAACAGAAGGAAGTAGTTTGGAGAGAACTACACTGAAATTCCCAAATGTTTGTTTTCTTTAAGCATGCTTGGTTATAAATAGTTAATGATCACAGTCAATCTCTTTCTTTAAAACAAAGGAAATATGATATAGAAATGAATACTTTGCACTGGTATGCATTTTGGTTTATTGATAAAAATTTAAGGTCAATTTTGTTACATGTATGTTTCTACTCTTGTTTATGTATTGTATTTATATGGCTCTTTTAAAAATGTAATGTATAATAAAATACAGGTTATAGATAGTAACCTATATAATAGCTAAAACTTATCATTATGGTAGGTTTTCTGGATACACAGAGTTGTATTTCAAATGGATAGGTAGTCTTCAAAACCTTTAAAGACCTACAGAAAAATGGTATTTAAAATGGTTTATTAGGGTTTTTCATGACAATGAGACACAATTGCTCTTGTCATCACCAATTACATCAGAGAGGATGATGGGCATTGAAGAAACTCATTATGGAGTTTGCCTTCAACATGGCAGGAAGAGCAATTTGGACAAGAAACTGCTCTTGTCTGGACTGTTTGACTGTATGTTGCATAAACTGACATGCAGGACCCACAGGAAAGTGACTGTTGAACTTTCCAAAACAAGATGGGTCAGTCCTTCAAGGTTCCTGCTTCTACAGGACACAGAAAAAAGGACTGACAAACTGTCAATACAGACAGGACAGTTTCAAATTTCCTATTTCATTCAGAAGTCTGCCAGACACACTATGGTCTATGAGCTGAAGATGGATGCCCCAAACTTTACAGAGGAAATTTGGGGTGATTGTCCAGGAAGTGAGATGTCTTTGTCAAATCTACAGTTTATATATTATCCTTCTGTAGTCTTTAATGGAGTTGAAGACAGTTATGGTTATAGTTTGCCTTAGTTACAATAAAAGATAAGTTACACATAAAGCTTTAGACTCACAAAGATAGGATAGATGATAGAATATTTTCTTTAAATTTTTGCAAATGTTAGTGGACTAAACATTGTTAACTATAGTTCTTGCTTGATAACTATTTTGTTATATATAATCTTACTGTGTTAAAGTTAAAACCATCCTTTTTATTTAGACAGAAAAGAGGAGATGATGGGAAGATTCTTATGTATGGTCTGAATATGTTTCTCTTATTGATTTAAAACACTAATTGGTCAGTAGCCAGGAAGTATAGATGGGGCTACAAAACAAGGAGAATGCTGGGGAGAGGATGCAGACAGAAGCCTCAAGGCAGACACCATGTAGCTACCAGGAAGATAGGACCCCAGGCATTCTCTGGTAAGCCAAAATCACATGGAGACACACAGATGAATAAAAATGGGTTAATAATTAAGAGAGAGCTAGGCAAATAAAAACCTGAGCCATTGGCCAAACAGTTTATAGTTAATATGAGCCTCTGTGTGTTTATTTGTTACTGAAAAGCTGAGGGACCAGGCTGGGACAGAAACCTAGTCAGACATGTTTTGTTTTGTTTTTTTCAAAAGTTTCTTATCATTAAAACTGCTGTAGTTAGATTAAGGGTGATTTGATATATCACCTCTTCTTACTTTTATGAGAACTCACATCATTCAACATGCTATTTGATAATGTCTATACCGAGGTGAAGCTATCCCAAAGGATGCTACTTGAGCCACTCCATTTGGCTAAGAAACTATTTTTTAAAATCCCAGAGGAACTGAAATTTCCCTAGGCATTTCATGTTGGGGGAGGGAAAAGGCTAAAGCCTGGTGTCAGCCAGAAGATGAACTTGTCTTCCAAGAAGAGGTTTCACAATGCTCTGACCCAGCTATCAGATCCGCTTATTTCAGAAAAGAGGAACAGAGACAATGATGGGCAGGGCCACATTTGACAAGGACTTAAACTTAAATCCTACCATCACAATATCCTAAGGAGACTTGGAGGGATCTGTAGATGTGTTTATGTTTTCTTCTTCCCAATGTGGCCCTGTTGAATTCATGTTGTTTCTCTTTTTGTTGTTGTTGTTACCTACTGATATTTGTCTCTTTAGTTGGTTTACTCAGGAGTGGTGGTTTAGCATGGCTTGTTAGGGCCACTAGGGTCCACAATCTTGTACACAGTGAGTCAGTGCTTTAGCACTGAATTAAATCATTAGCTCTTGGTTTAGGATTTTTACAGTTTTATCCAAGTTGGCCTCAGATTTATTAGGCTCCTGCCTTTGCCCCTTCAAGTGTTATGATTACAGGTATGTGCTACCATATCTGGTGTCACTACTTCCACCCCTGAGGTATCAGAGATGACATATTTACAATGGAAAGATTTAGGATTTGGGGATCAAAATACATCTGATATTGTAACTATAGTTTTCTAATTTTAAACACTTTTGGTGATAAAGTACATAAATCAATAGTAATAACCATGGGGTTTAGTTTTCTGGCTCCAGTGCTGACTTTGTTTTCAGAGAACTGAAAAATTTAAATGACACATATTGACTCCCCAGTGAGACCAAGATCACACAAGCAGATAGGAAACCCATTTTCTCTCCCACATGATTGGACCTGTTGTTGCCTATTTTCACTTGTGTACTGACTATGAGCTTTGCCTGTTTAGGAAATATGTCAAGTACCCCTGCTGTTTGCCAAGCATCTCCGTTCATGAACTGTTTTGCTTTGCTTACTGACCCTAGACTTGACTTGGCACAACT